ACCTTTGTTTGTTTCTATAAATGTGTTAGCAAGGGATGGACACAAATAAAGCACTGTAACACAGAGGTTCTGTTTATTTAAAACTCCTGAAACATTAAGGCAGCATATGACAGCTTGGCACAACCAGATGTCTCCCTCATGCTAAGAAGTTCTACGCAGTATTCAACGCTTCATTCTTTTGGTAATTTAGTTTTAGAGAATTTATTTGACAAAGCAGATCAGAATCTCTGCGACTTCTCATTTATAGAAGCTTCATATGAAAAATAATCTAAATAGCAAAACATTCGAGAAAATACAACTTAATTTTAAAGAAAAAAATGAGGTTAAGATGTATTTTCTCTTAGTTTTCATCCAATGTGCAAATATGTTCAATTAAATGTTCAATAAAAAGAAAGAAAAAGAACTTTGGGGATGATCAAATGAGACAAAAGGGAGACTTAGAAAAGCGCCCCTGATGTTTACAAAAGCATCTTTTCCTCTACACTCATTAACAGGCGTGATGGAAATTTTTTAAAGGGAAAAAGACCAGAGGCAGTAATTTAATAAACATGGTTATTAGGCCTAGAAAACAGACTCGGTTAGCTGGGGATTACATAAGGAGGTTATGGTTGGTTCAGTGGCTGAGTTGGAGGCGTTAGAAAACTTCACTCCTATTTCCAACAGTAAAAATTATTCTGAATCAAGCTTTTTTTTTTCCTCAAGTGAGTTAATTTCCCTCTCTCTATGAACACCGCTACTACCCTGCTGCAGATTCCTGCATAAAGCATGTTTATTCAAAGTCTCAGTGGGGATTTACTAGTGACCAATCCCTGCAGATAAGGTTATTTTGTATATTCAAATTAATGCAAAAGGTTACTGCAAATAAACACACAGTCCACAGGTGTTACACTTTACTCTAAATAGTTTTTTGCACAAAAAAACTATTCAAATCAGTGGAAGTCTATAAATTAATACCCCTGATACTGTGGCTTGCACTATAAATGTGTTTGTATTTTATAACTTATTATATAGAAAAAAGTTAAATACAAAACAACTTTATTCATAAACAACTTTATTAACACATGTAAAATTTCCTTAACTATTGTTTTAATGTAAGAACTAAAATAAATATTATATTAAAATGTAATGATTATTATTTTTGGTTCCGTCAGAATATATTTGCTTATCACCAGGTTTCCCCCTTATTGTTTTAATCAAAATATAAACCCATTCTAAAGTTAAATCCATTTATAATTGTTTATGACGGTTCTCTTTAATGGTTTTTCTGAATAAATCCTTTCCTAAACTTTAACAGATTAACTGCCCTTGCCATTTAAAAATCTTTGAAAATTAGAAATATTATTACTAAGTTTTTTTTAAACTGCTCAGTTAAAATTGTCAACACCAGGTTTCAATTCAATCCAATTCAGTTTATTTATATAGCGTCAATTCACAGCACGTCATCTCAAGCTACTTCACAATTCAACTACATCATACAGTCAAAATGATGCAAAGTTTTCTATCTAAAGAAAACCAGCTGATTGCATCGACTCATTAACTTGAAAGCAATCCCTCAGACCAAGCATGCTTGTAGGGACAGTGGAGAGGAAAAACTCCCTTTGAACAGAAAGAAACCTCCAGCAGAACCAGACTCAGTATGAGCGGCCATCTGCAGAGGCCGACTAGGGTTAAAGCAAGGTTACCATTTACAGAGTGTAGCAACTTTGATAAAAATTATTGGAATTTCACTGTATTTAGATAGAGATTTAAGACAAAACAGTGAAAACGACTGTCCTCTGTCACCTAATGCTCAACCAGGAGGAAGGAAAGCTGCAAGTATCATGTTTGAAGGAAACCTGCAGCGTTTAATAGGAAAGGCCCTGACAGAATTGTCTCCCTAAATTGACTTTGGAAGACGTCTCTTCGGAATGGCGCTACAAAATAAACGGAAATTAATTGAAAGAAACAATCCTGCAACGAAACAAATTATGTAAAATATTAATAATTACACAAGGACAAATCTTACCAAAAAAATCTGCCGTTTCTTTTTATTTGGTAAAAAGATTTAAGCAAGCTTATTATAGAATAAACACAGACTAAAATATCTGGTGTTTTAATAGGTAGATAATGAATAAAGCTGATATTAGCCGATTGTCAAGTAATTCTTTCTGCATACTTTATATTGAAAAATGGCGGGACTTAGTTAAAATTTTTGAGTTATTGACAGTGTCTGTAATTAATCAATCTCCATAAATTGCATTTTCATTTAAGACAATATATCAACAAGATAAACAAGTGTTTCCATTCAAAAACACATTTTTCTTGAAAAAAGTCTTAAAAATAAATACAAAAATGTATTTTTAATGCATTATTCATGGTTGTTCTACCATCAGATTAGTTTTAGCATTGAGTTTGTTTGAAAACCCTGATTTTCTTTGACACTTCTTTGAAAAAAACTCCATAGAGGTGTGAACAGTACACGAGCATTAACTACAGCAGCTTCTTTTATTGAATATGGTAAAATGTATGTAGCAACAAGGCATACCGGTACAATAATTCCTTAAAGAGTTTAAAATTAGCTGTAAACAGAAGTTAACGTTAATATTTTCTGTTCAACATGCAGCGTTTAGTTCAATTTAAAACAGACACCAATTAAGCTACTTTTTTTTCTTAACCCAGTAAAATAAACAATCCATTTTGTAACCAACTTTAACAGTGAGTTTTTGTTTTACGGGCGTGGAGGTACCACTGTTAGCCAAAAGCCCGTCATCTGGTCTGATGTGGGTTGGCTGGAGAATATGTGCCACGACTGTGGATGATGACATTAGTGCTGCATCAACATCAGTGGCATTGAGAAGCTTTTTAAACATTAAAATCCCAACTGGAACAACAGTTGTGATCCGGCTTGTGTGCAGCGAATGAAAAAATTTCTGCTTATGATTTTAGTATATGTTAAAAAAAGCTATTATTTAAAGCATTAAATATGAATTTAATGTGATTAAAGAAATTACATCAAACAAAGCCTTAGAAGGTCCAGGTCTAATCTTTAACTCTGTTTAGCTTTTCCAAAAAAAGAGTTTTAAGTCAGAATTGAGAATATTTACAATTTTTTGGGGACAGTGATGTATTCTCTAATCTGCATAAAGCTGCTTGTTTAATGGTCAAATAAGATACGTGCCAACTTGGTTCACCGATCTTTAGAGACATTTTTAATATACCGTATTTTCCGAACTATAAAGGCTGATTTATACTCAGAAACCAGTTTGTCTGCGTGTGTTGCGTTGAATGCAAATGTGCCTCCACCCCTCCCGCAGACACTCTGCTGCACCTCTCCCAAATTGTAGGTGACCGCAGACAGGAGGATTCTGATTGGTCAAATCTACATCCTCTCTACACAATGCGTATTTCCTGTTTGGTACCTTACCAGCTTGTTTTGTTTGTATGACCGCCATTGTGGAAAACGACTCGTGAAGATGGACCAGCTAGAAGAGCAAGGTGCCTGAGAATGCTGGGACCCTTTTTCCACCTGTACCCTGGCTCTTTTTCACCCTCGTGTCCCTCCGTTGTCGCACAAACTTGCCCCCACTTCCTCACCGCCTCGGCCGTATCTAGACCCACAGCTAGTTCCTGATTGTCCCTCTTGCGTTGTAGCATGGAATAACAGCGCAGACCATGCGTCAATATTGGGCATAAATCAAAAATATCTGCGACAAGCTCACTGCGACACACCGCTGCGGGAGGATAACCAGCCCCTAAGCCACTACTTTTTTCCCCACACTTTGAACCATGCTGCTCCCCGGGCGCCGTACAATGGCAGCTCACTGCCCCCCAAGGGGATGGGTTAAATGCAGAGAAGTAATTTCCTTCTGGGAGTATAGAAAATCAAATTAAAAAAATAATAAATTTAACTTTTCTGTGGATTTTTCTTAACCTTCAGAGAGAAGTCAAAGTTTGACATGAAAGAATAAGGGGCTAATTTTCAATTAGCACAAGAACATGCTAGCAGTGCGCACGATGGACAACAAATGTCCAAAACTCACACATTTATGCCATTTATTTGCTGCATTAAAGCTGTTAAACCAATGAAGAGACTGGGCTCAACTCCTGCAGAGCTGAAATAAAGAGCTGACAAAGCCCCATCTTTCAGTAGAACCCAACAAGCTAACGGGGGCTAGCATTCTTCTTCGTCCCTACACCTGGAGCTATATGTAGAGCTCCCCCTACAGGTCTGGTGGGGGACAGTTCAGTAGATATCAGCGGCTAATAGGCCGGTGCGGCTTATATATGTATGTTTCAAGCTTTCAAATTAGTGGGCACAGCTTATAGTGAGGTCGCTCTATAGTGCGGAAAATACGATAATCAAATATAATTATTTACTAAAGGTTTAATGGAGCTCTACAAAAGAAAAGGGTCTCATAGAAAAGTATTGTCACAAAGATCTTCCTGGATGCAGGCCTGCACGGAATCCAAAACCACCAATTAAGAGTACTTAGTGACTTCGCACATTTTCTTTCAGCCAGTCAGGACCAAATTTACAGGAAAAATGGTTAGCCCTCAGGATAGAGTCAAATCTGTCATTAACGTGATACGTTAAGTGTGACAACAGACAGGGAAATTACCCACAGCTGCTCCTCTTTGCAAACCCAGCCACTCACATACTGTAAGCCGCGTCTGCCTTTCTTTTGTTAAATCTCCATAAAGTCAAGCGTTTCAAAGGGGTTTGCATTCTCAGAATAAAAGAAATGCAAGTTCAGACAGTAACCTATTGTAATAAACCCCAGCAGCATGACTACATAATCATTACTACCCTGAAAGCTTGCACACTGAACCCAGAGATGGTGGGGCATTTCCCGTATAGTATGAGTGAAAGTTAGGGGAAGGTGGGGGCGACGTCGACCAAGGAAGGGGAGACAGGGATGAAAAATGTCCTACACCCACTTGGTTGGAGAGGGTCAGCATGAGGACTGGTGCACACAGTAAAGAGGGGGAGGACCCATGGGTAGAATATTTAAGATGCTGATGCAGAGGAGGACTTCACTGAGGAAACAGGGCAGAGCTGGAGAGAGCATCTGGTCAACAGGAGGACCCCAACTCAACACTTCTGTTTGCTAAACCTTTGTTACCTAGATACTACTTTCTTAGAAAGAGGAGCAGAAGGTCTTTAACACAGAACCTTTTTAAGAAGATCAGAATCTACAATCTGATATCCAAACATGGCTAAAATCTCTTTTAGCATCATAGCTTTAGGTATTTCTCTGCTCCTCTTAGAAACGGGGGCTCAGAACCCAAAGAAGAGACTGGCTACTTCAAAGCCTCCAAAAGGTCAATGCTGCGACGAAGTGCGCTCTCTGAAGGTGCAGGTGGCCAATCTGACCAGCCTGCTGGCGGAGCTGAGTCAAAAGCAGAAGACAGACATGAAGAACGTGTTTAGGCAGATCCTGGAGCTGGACAAGCAGGACCAGCAGCTGGAAGGCCGGGTGACCGAGGCAGAGAGCAAGTACTCGGAGATCAACAACCGCGTGGAGATCATGCAGCTGCAGACTCTGCAGTCTGCAACCCAGACTTCATCAGGTGAGTGCTCCAACACAGCAGGAGGCACTTTGTAGATGATGACTTGAATTTATTCAGTTTAAGGATTCTGGTTTGTAATTATTTTAAGAAATACACAAAATGAAACAAACAAAAGTGCTGCAGAGGGTTTTGTAAAGGTAATCCCAATTTTGAGCCCAATTGGGAATTAAAACTTACATTTACATTTTTAACAAATGTAAAAAAAAAAAAAATGATTTGAGAGTATTTAAAATCCTAACCATCAAATAGTGGATTGAGGAAATGCAAAGCAAATCCTAAACTCGTCTTAGTTTGGATTTAGATTCATTTAAAAGTAAATTGACATTTTTGATATTTTTTTACCTTTCTGTTGGAATGTGAGCAGTTGTGAATTCTGCAGTCATATATTCATTTCAGCTGCAAACTACTATAATCAGACATACTTTTTGGGCCCCAGTGAGCTGCTGTAAGGCAGTATTGAGGCTGATTACAGTGCACCCACTGAGCTGCACAACAGCTGCAAAAAGCATCAATTTGGAGCTGCAGAGTCCCGTCTGCCAGGCTGTGGATACATATCTCCAACGCTGCCTTATTCCCCTCGGTTTCAACTGAGCTAATCACAACAGTGATTAACCAAACATTACGCCTTCTGTTTTCACAGAACCTTAGCTGTGTGGTCCGACGGGGCTGTATGTATGATTCAGGTGAAGAGAACAGAGAGGTCTTTCTAAAAGCTCCAGGCAATCAGAGAGGGGAGAGCGGGACAGGAAGGGATGCTCAGATTAGAAGATAGAAGAGGTTCTCCTTTCTCTACTGGTAGAAAGGTTCATGTCGCCCTTGTTAACTCTTTAATTTCCTCGCCATACCATGAAAAGGAACAATAAAAAACAGATTATCCTTTTTTGCTTTTTTTCAGGGCTAAAAATCCATTATTACATCTGTAAAGTCACTCACATGCACATAAAGCTGCCTTTTATAGGAGACCTGCTTCCAAAATCTGCTCATGAAATCCTATATGCCATTAGCATAAGTCTATGTTCTTCTTTTCCAGATGCCATATATGACTGTGCCTCGCTCTATGGGAAAAGCTACCGGATCTCTGGCGAGTACAAGCTGCCTAAAGATGAGTTTCTGGGAGCACCTGAGCTCAGCGTAAGTCAGACGGTTCTGTTAGACAGCGGTTTCCTGTCCACTCAGCATTCAGGTACGGTTCAGGAAAAAAAAAAAAAAATGCTCTTTTGTTGCAGGTCTACTGTGATATGGAGACAAACGGCGGGGGCTGGACTCTGATTCAGCGACGCAAAATTGGCCTGACCTCCTTCAGCCGTGACTGGAAGCAGTACAAGAACGGATTTGGATCCATCCGAGGAGACTTCTGGCTTGGCAACGACCACATCTATCGCCTAACGAGACAGCCCAGCACTCTCCGGATCGAGCTGGAGGTATGCGTTACACCCAGCACCGACTGTTTCATAGCCAAAAATAAGCAGGCGTACATACAGGCAGAACCATGTTTAGTCTATTTGCACTGAGCATGAAAATTAGTAATAAATCTGACTAATGGCAGAGAAACAAGAGCCAAAAAGTTCTTATTTTTACAACCATTCCTCTTTATGTGGGTTTTACTATGCAGGACTGGGAGGGACAGACACGCTACGCTGAGTACGGCTTTTTCACTGTCGGCAACGAACTAAACAGCTACAAGCTCCTCATTGCCAACTACAGTGGGAACGCTGGTGACTCCTTACGCTACCACAACAACACCAACTTCAGCACCATGAACAGGGACAACGACAAATGTGTGGACGACTGTGCCGCCCTGCGCAAAGGTGATCCATTAGAGTAAAAGTAGCTACCAAAGCAGATCATAAAAGGGGGATGTATCCCTCCAAACAACCATGAGTCTAACTTTTTCTCCCTCTCAGGTGGTTACTGGTACAACTGCTGCACCGACTCCAATCTGAACGGCGTTTTTCACCGCTACGGCGCACACACCAGGAGCGCGGAGGGGATCACCTGGTACGCCTGGCACGGCCCCAACTATTCTCTAAAGAGAGTGGAGATGAAGGTCCGGCCCGTTGGTTTTCAACCCTGAACGCCTCATCCGGATAAAATCACAGATCTCTGTAATACCTGTAGGACCAACCCGAGGGCAAAACCAGTTAAATGACCATTTGTGATGGTCTGTTTAGGAAGAATGTGTCAATGTCGCGTGCAATTGTAAATTGTAGGCATTTTTTTTTACATTTATTATTAACATTTTGGCTTTTTTTAAGTGTTAATATACTATTCTAAACCACTGTCCCATATGGGCTACTGGACTTTAATCATTTCTATCATTTCCTTGAAAGCACTAGTTTGTGTTTTAGTTTATTCTGGTTTCAGTGGAGGCCTCGGCGAGCTGTAGGACATATTTAAAGATTTAAGTATCATTGTTGTGAATAGCTGGTGGGCTTACGACAGACCAGGAAAAGCCCATCCTATACGTTTTTTTCTTTGATAAACAGTACTGATGGAAATGTGTGATGTTGTAAAATTTGTACAGAATTTTAATGATGTTTAATGTGATGAAAAATAAAGATATTTTTTAAAAGAAGAACAAAACGCAGTCTTAAATAAACACGCATTTTCATATAGAGCGTCTTAAAGAGATGCAAATACAAAAGAGCTCTGGCGTCCATCCATGTCAGGGTCAGATGCTGACACGCTCGCCGAAGGTTCCGCGACTACTGACCCAAAGAGAGCACCACACATACTGCCACCTAGTTAAACACACCCAAGGTTTCCAAATGGAAAAGCTTAACATCATCTTAAAATGTTTATAAGCAAGAAAGAATTTCATAGAGAGTTAAAAACCTGCAGACAGCAAGTGCTCCCTTTACAAGACCAGAAATCAGGTTTAACATTTTTTGCAATGCTACACATTCAGGAAAACCCTAATTAAAGATTTCATCAAGAAGGCAGAAAATAACATAAGGACACAAACTGTTCGACACCTTCTGATAGGGACGAATTTGACTTTGTTTTAAGAGTTTGTAAACTCCCAATCTGCCTTTGAGTCCAAGTAAAGTTACTGTGTGATAAATTTTATTAGCATAAAGGGAGCTAAGGCGCACCGGATTATAGGGCGTGAGTTTTATATACCGGTACATATCCTCTACTACGTTTAAATACCTCTACTGCGTATATTCAAAAATAGAGCGGGAGCAAAACGGAGTATGTTTGTGCTTTATTCATGTATTTATTACAAAGTATTAATCAAACCCATCGAAGTCATCATCCTCTGTTTCTGAATTAAACAGCTGCGCTAAATCAGACATGCCAATTTCCCCTTCTTCGCTGTCAGAGTCACTTTCCGTGCCGCGCGGCTCCTTGGAAATAATGCCGGCTTTTGCGAAAGCTTGAACAACAGTGCCAGCAGACACGTTAGCCGGTTAACGCAGCCGGTTCACACCGATGCCGAGCGGTTGAAGTTCCTTTGTCAGACCTCCCGGAATAACAGCAAGCACAGCGTTCATTTGTTTCACCTTGTTTTTCACATCGGCTGTGAGATAGGCACGCATGGAGTCACAGATTAACAGTGACTCCTTAGCCACAGTGACTCCTTAGCCACTCTCAGCCACATACACGATCCACGCCCACACTTCCCCCTTTAACGTTCTCATGGTAGTCTCAACAACGTCCGCAGTAACAACACACATAGGGCGCGCCGCACATTTTGAGGGAAAAAAAGACGTTTATATGCGCCTTATAGTCGCGAAATACGGTAGGTGTACGGTAAATTAGGAAGTCTAAGGGGGGTATCATAATCGGTATTAGAATAACAATTACAGGCTTCTGGAGGAAAATAAAATGCATCAGACGAAGCTGGAGACTAGAGAACAGCACAGTAGAAAATTCCAGTTGTTTTTACCAGTTTTTCAGCTTTAATAGCAGAATGATGCCAATAAAGAAGAACATGCTTAAAAATAGATATCCAATTAACAGCTTAATCAACCGATAACTTGTCACTGTCCAAACTACAACTTTAAAGAGAACCCTCTGAGTGGACTGTAGGGTGGCAGGAGAATGGAAGCTGC